GTAGTTGTGCCGGAGACAATGAAATTGGCTCAAGACAGACCAGGGTTTAGAGCTGTTGTACAGGGTTGCTATGAGTCACAAGCGACTTGACAGCACATAACAGCAACATCTCTAGTCTGCTATATAGCTCCATGACCCTGACTACTTAATTAAATACATTGTCTATTTCCCACCAGAAAGTCTGAATACCAATCTGAAAGCAGTGTAGTCTTGGCCTAGAGAAAGGACAAGGGGGAAATGTCAAGAGAGAAATATATTCATTTCCTAGACATGTTGTTATTGTTGTTATGTGTCATTGAATCAGAAACGATCTATTGCTGACCCTCTATGGGGTTTCACAAAGAAGACCAGTGCCCATCTTTCTCCCACGGTGCAGCTGACAGATGAGAACTGTATTATTTTGGGGTTGGCCGCAGAACACTTTACCACTAAGCCAGCAGCACTCCTTTCAGATAAATGTTGTTGTTGTCGAGTTGATTATGTCCTATAGTGGCCTTGTCCTGTCCTGTGCCATCTTTGCCATCTCTGACACACTTGACCTATTTCTACAGTCACTGTGTAAATCCATCTTAGCGAGGGTCTTCCATTCATTCACTCACTCTCCACCTTTCCAAGCATGCTGTCTCTCTCTAGGAAATAGTTTCTCCTAACAAGATGCTCAAATTGTGTGAGGCGGTATACAACAACAACAGGATTAAAAAAGATCTAAGTCTGCCTGTTGTTGCTGTTGTGTATTGTCGTGTCAAAATAGACCCATAGCTGGGTCAACAGACCCTCTGGCAGAAGGAAATCACCCATCTTTCTCCTGTGGAGTAGTTGGTGGCCTCAGACCACATGCCTTTGGGATTGCAGCACAGCTTCTCACCACTAGGCCATCAGAGCTCCCTAAGAAGCTAAGGCCAAAAAGGCAATGTACTGAGTTCTCCCTCTCTCACAGTCATCAAGTTGTAAGTGACGCATAGCTGACTCTCTGATTAGTTTTCAGAAGTTTTGTAAATCACACACAAGGAGAGTGCCCATCTTTCTCCCTCAGTGAGTCTGGTGGATTTGAACTGGCAGAGCGGTAACATCTCTAGCTTAGCAGTGCAACTCCCTACCAACTACACCACCAGAGTTCCCTTTACTGAGCTGGATAGATCTTATCTTCTTGATGACCAGAGAAAGCAGCCTGTAGAATCCCAGGGAGCCAGAATGCATCCAGGCAAGGTCAAATGTACAAAGCACCATCTTTTACCTAAAAGCCACAAAAATCAATACAGGGATGACTGGAAAGTTTAAACACAGAGCTCCGGCCAACTCCTTCCCTTCTGCTTCGTTAGGCCAAGGGCACTCCCTGTTTTGGAAAAACACAGTTCTAGTTCCAGTCTAAACCATTCATCCACACTTCCACCTGTAACACTTTGGAATGAAGAACTTAGAATCAGCTTCTAGAAAGTCCTAGGAGAGCAATAAAAGTGGTAATGGGACAAACCATTAGTCTAACCAAGGAAAAGTATAAACAGGTTCAATACTAAATTCTTGGGCAGAGACAAGAAATTAAAGGCAGCAGCAGTACACTGCACTGGAATAATAACTATGTTGATGACACAGCCATCATCTAGCTTTGGATGCTATTAAGCTGCCTCTCATGGCTGTGTGCCGTGCTGGGGGACAACAAACTCAAAAACTTCCACTGGAAGCTGGGGTGTATCCAGATTCTAAATAAGAACAGGCAGGGGTTATTTTATGAAGAGAACAGCTTTCCAAAATGCACAGAGAAGGCCACAGAGGTAGGATATGAAGTTAGTCATGTGAACCGGCCCCCACACTCTTAGATCTCAGAAGCTGATATTTTACAATGTGTCCCAGGCAAACCAGAATGAGAACAGAACCAGAACAAAGAGTTCACTCTGGCTGTGAAATGACACTACTATCAGTATGAGCTCTGTCTCCAAGGGCAAAGGGTCAGAGAAGCCCAGTACACATGGCCAAATGCCAGCTCTTAGGAGACTTGTAACCAACTCCAGGCAATTCCAGGACTTCTCACTCTGTTACGTTCATTAGCAGGATGAGTTCTAAATGGAAAGCCCTGTAAGCTGGGAAAATCAGAAAGCGACAGAAAACCTAATAAAGAAATGTATTCTTGTTGTTGTTGTTGTGTACTGTAGAGTCAAATTGACCCACAGATCTGACCTTTGCACAGGTTTTCAGAAAAAAAAATGGGAAGAGACTGCCCATCCTTCTCGCACAGAGCAGCTGGTAGCCTAGAATTGAGTTCCTTTGGGATGCAACACAGCTTCTTGCCACTAAACCACCAGGGCTCCCTAAAGAAATGCTTATGACCTGGAACCCCACCCCATTAAAAACTTAATTGCTAGTGAAATCATTACAAGTGATATCTGGGGTTTGCTTTAAATACTGGGGGACAGGGCAATTGAGGATTGGTCATCGCTTGGTAATGGATAAAGATGACAGGTATGTGGGGCTTAATTTTGCTTTTTCCACTTTTGTATATTTGAAATTTTCCACAATAAAAAAACCCCATGCATATTCATTATAGAAATTTAGACAAATATATTTTTAATATAGTAAAGAAGAAAAATTGTGTATAATCCCATCACGTGAGACAACCACTAACATCACTGTGGTTTATTTCTTTTCAATTTTCTTCTAAGCCCTTTCTACTTTTCTTTCTTTTTCCTGTTTGTTTGAAAAACTAGATCAGACTGTCCATGATGTTTTATAACTTGTTTCTCTCCCCTTTTCTTCATTTATCTTAAGTACTTTCTCAAATCATTAAATAGCTATTAACAGTAGGACTGTTGTATGATCTTTTATCAAAAGGCAGACCATATCGACTTCCAATTTTTTGCTATTTTAAGTAGCGCTGAAGTGGAGTGGGAAAGATGGCTTCTGGTATAAACTTGCTGCTGTTACCACTGAGATGGCTCCTCTCATGATGACCTTATGGAGAATAGCACAGAACACTGTCCAGGTCTGTGCCAACTTCATGATACAAACAGGAGATTTCATGTGAGAAACTAATTGTTCGCTTTATACCCAAACATAAACTGACAGCACAGAGGAAAGAAAATGGTAAAGAGAGAAGCTGCTGGCTCATAAACTTCAGAATTCTAGGCAATGATTAACTTTGCAGGTAATCCCTGTTGTAAAAAGGCTGGGGTGAGTAATAAGAGAAAACATCACCAGCTACAATGAGGCTGAAACACGCTTGTAGCCAACAATAATTCACATATCATGATGAAGGCAGTGAGTCCAAGAACCTGCTAGCATCTCTACTGACTTGGTCAGGTTTTGAAATCTTGTCTTCAAAGGAGGATATTTTCATTGCACTGGATGGCTTAGGATGGGTCTGCAGACACAAAGCTGGACTGAATGGCCTCTCAAAGATCAGGGCGTTAATGTGTTCAATTGTGTCAAACAAGGCATATTTGTCTTTTTAAATAAAACTCATATAACTGGACATTACCACAGCCTGCAATTAGTGTCTCTCCAAAGCCTTTACTAATAATTCCCTCTTCTCTTTCCCTCTCCCCCCCCAAAAAGAAATTCACAAAACGAAGGGAATCCTAGTTCTTCCCTACACTCTCTGTTGCCGGCGAAGCAGATGAACTTGGTTGGATGTCTGAGAAGATAATTTCACAATGTAGTATCAGGATCTATTTTTTTTTTTTAATTTCCTGAAGCAAATTTACCAACTGTCTATGTTGTGAAGTGACACTTGTAACTTTGTTCTGGCTGGCTTTCTTGGGCTGCTAAAAAGCATTAGTAATCTCCAAGTCTACCTATTCAGTTCTGGCCAGCAGTCACACTGCAGTCTTCTTGGCCAGGGGGCCACCACCACCTTCCTCTTGGAAGGGGCCCAAGCAGTGGCAGCAGGAAGTCCAGGAAGAGGGTGGCATGAGAGAGTGCTGTTTTTCTTTACATTTCTCCTGTCCTTTATCCCTGTCTACCATTCTGGGTTTTGTCTTTCAGAAAAGACAATGGTGGCTCTCTTATCCTGCCAAGGAGTGTGTGAAGAGGAAGAGAGTCTGTGACACACAGAATGCAAACTCCCTAAGGTTGAGAATTCTGTAAGTGGGCCATTCAGTGTTTATCACTTAGTAAATGAACAGCAACTGCAGAATTGCAGGTTCTCCAAAATGAAGTCTAACCTCCTTAACCCCACTGTTCTCCTTTACCAAACACTCTAGCACCCCGAGTACTGAACTTCCTAAATTTTCAAGCAAGCAACACCAATTACATTTTCTTGATATTTCTTAATGATGACAACCATGAAAAAAGGCTAACCACTAAACACAAAGACTAAAAGGATAAAGTTTTCAGTGTGTTAAAGTAGTGAATTCAACAGTGGTTTTTATTTTGTTGTTGTTACTGGATTATTTTAACTGTAGCAAATTCTTTTTAAAACAAAGTTAGTACCACCCTTTCATTTATGACTGTTGCTGATACTGGAACTCTTCAAAGCATGAGTTCATTCCTGAGTAAGTCTATGTCCTCCCTCTGGATCCACATGTCACAGACAAGCAGAAGAAAAACAGACAGGAATACAGTCCAAGACAACATGGGATTCTCATTTTCATTGGGTTTCCCCCATAGAGCATTGCTGACAGTATCTTTAAGTTTTACCATAATCAGGTCATAAAGCTCTGTGAGAGTCTACACTTATAGCTTAACATTTATTTTTCTTCCCCTGACAAGTGGTAAAAAAAGTGCCAAATGTATAAACACAGAACAGCTGTCTTCTGGCAAAGACAATATCCCATTGCACATCGCCCCACCCCGAGACAGACACACACACAAGCCCAATCCCAGCCAACTTGATTGCTGTAGATTTCCCAAGGTTCCACTGAGCTCACCCTCTGATGTAAGAGTGGACGAGAGCCACGAGCTGGGGCGGATCTAAATCTGCCACCTCCCGAAGGAAGTGGTAAGACCACATGGGTTCTATACCTTGACCTCCTCACCTAGGGACCGACCGGGCCAGAATGGAAAGTTACCTTGCACACAGCAGCCTGAAGAATTGCATCGAAGCCTCCTTCGGGAGCATCTCGGTTCCGGGACACTCTCTGTTTCCTAACTTCCTCGTTGAAGCTGTCGACTCTGTCTGTGAGAGGCAGCAGATGGCGGAACCCAAAGGATGGGACACAGTTTGGAAACAACTTGTAACTGAAGAGAAAGAAGAGAAAAGTTAACTTTACACCATCGCCCCTAAACTGTAAATAACCAAGCACCTGATGGAGCTGCTGAATGCCTTGAAAGGCACCTACTACCCAACAGGTTGTTGTTGTCACCTGTTGTTGTTATGGGCCATTACATCGCTTGTGACTCATGTACAACAGCCCTAAACTCTGCTCTATCATGTGCCAACCTTACTGTCTCTGACACACCTACCTCCATTACCTCAGTAATGAACCAATGCATCTCATTGAGGGTTTCCTCTCCTGTGCCGTCCCTCCACCCTCCCAAGCATGACATCCCTCTCCAAGGACTGGTCCCTCCTTGCAACATGTCCAAAGTTTGTCAGACTGAGTCTCCTAGTACCTACTATATCTCCCTGCGACAGATGTTATGGGAGACAAATATAAATGCCATAACTTCTCCTCTCCAAATGACAATGGCATTGTGGCATAGTAGATTGAGCATTAGGCTGTTGACTGAAAGGTTGGTGGTTCAAGTCTACTACTACCTGCTCCACAGGTGAAAAGTGAGGCAGTCTGCTTCCCTAACAATTTACAACCTTGGAAATCCCACAGGGAAGTTCTACTTTATCCTACAGGGTCGCCATGAATGGGAATCAACTGAGTGGCAGTTAAGTATAGTTATGTTGTCTTTGTTCTGTTGAGTTTATTCTGTTAGCAGAACTTACAGTCAGTAGTTGGGTGCTTAACCATTGAACCACGAGGGCTCCCGTGGGTCTGCAGAGAGGTTCTCAAATGGCCCCAGCCCAGGGGCGAAGTTAAGTCCCAATTACAGTTCTGGGAGTTTGACTCCAATAGTTTGGTGCTATTATGGAGCTAATAAAATATAAAGGGAGGTCTCACATTGTTTCATGTCTGGTTCGCCAGAGAAAGGAGGAGAAACAAAAGTGTCCGGCCAGAGAGAGACACACATGCTAGAGCCCTGTGGGAGCAGAGCAATGTGAGAACAGGCCAGGACGAGGCTGGGAGGCAGGCTGGGGCAGACTGCAGAGTCTGTAGCTAAGGAAGCCAATTTGCCGACAAAAGATAAAAATGCACACCAAGAGGCACAAGAGAAAAGATTTATAATCCAATTCAAGCTATTTGCACGGGACGGGAAACAGGCTTAGCAACTGCGTGGAGGACCCTGCCAAATTGCTGCCCAGGAGCAGCATCAGTGCAGGTCGGGGCAGGCTCTCTCCTCCCTGCCAGAGGCAAGCTCTAGTTTTCAAAGGGATCTTTCCATCTGGGGGGGACAGGGAATGAGGCGAGCCTAGAGTCTCTGTCTCACTTTCTGTAGTCACAACAGCACAACAGAGAGTTGCTGCCTACTGATTCACAAGCCAAGCAGCTCTGACATTATCAACGCTACTTCCTTCCCTAATCCCCACGGCACTCTCTGGACAGGGGATAGAGGCTCCGTTTCCCCCCCCCCCGCCCCCCCACATGCCTCTCTGTTTCACGCCCTCCTCATTTTCAAAATCTTCATCCACACCTGTGCCAAGACAGATCTTTTTCTTTTAAACCAAGACCTTGGGCCACCCACTCTTTTCACGGCCATCTCCTTCTGTTACAAACAGCACAGTCACGGACATCACATTTCCAGGCGGAGGAGGAGCTGAGCTTCATCTGTAGCTATCTGACCAATGTACAGACCCCGAAGGGAATACACACTCACAAGTTCTCACGCCCTTCTCTTTCTTCCTCCAAGCCCCTACATGCTCTGTGCTGTTCTGCTTCATGATTTAGGGCTTCAGGTGTGCATTTCATGTCACAGCTGGTTGGGGTGGTCGAGGAAAGGGAGGGGAGGAACAAGATAGTTCCTGTTTAATGGGAAAACCAGAAAAACTGAGGAGCTCAGTTAAAGAATGATGTGGTTCTTCTCCTTTTTATACCTTTTCCTTTTTGTTCATGCAAACAGCAGTAAGCTGCTATCTTTTGAGGGCAGAGAATCAAGTAAGTGGGGGACAAGAAAACGTGTTTGCCAGAGAGGAGTCTTCATTACAGAACATGTATTATAACTAACCATCATTTCTGGTAAGCAGCATTTCTTACCAGGAGGGAAACAACTCTGTCATGTAGATCCTGTGAATGTCTCGACAGTTTCTGAGATAAGAGGTTGCCTGTTATAGAACTTAAACACCTGGAGAGCTGAATGAGAGCCTACAGAGCCATATATCATAGGATCTTGTGCAGGGGACCTTCCCACCATCAAGCTAAGGGCTGTGTCTATGCTTCTGGGGCTCTAGTGTAGGGTCATGTAGAAAAAGGTACTAAGTTTGGAATTATTAACCAAGAAGATGAAAAAAAGGAAACATACAATGCCTAAAGGACCAGGAAGGACATCAAGTTTGCTAAAGGAGAGGGTCAGTGAAAATGAAGAGGACCCTAAGGAGATGGACTGTCACAGGGCCTCGGGCACAGCAGTGACCATGCAGGACCAGGCAGTGTTATGTTCTACTTGTACAAAGGATCATATGAGTCAAAACTGGCTACACAACACCAAACAACAGCAGGAATTGGAGAGATGTGCCTGTATGAAAAGTGAGTCCAATTCATACACACTAGATCTAGGCAAATCAGGAAACAATTCTATACTTCAGGACAGTTTTGTGGATTGAGCTGACATGGAAAGAGCTCCCCTAACTCTAGACATACAAAAAGGCTATATATTCTTTTTGGATTGTATAAGTATGGTAAAGCACTGGTCTGTGCATTGCTGTACAGAGGTAACTTGTGGTTGCTGTGATGCTGAACACTGTGACACTGATGTACCAAACGCGATAATGGTTACCCACGGTGGACAGTGTTTGATGGTGCTCCCGATTAAAACAAGCTTGGAAGCAGGAGTGATATCCACTTCTGAAATGGCTTGCCCCCGGAAACTCTATGAACAGTGCTCTGGTCTTTTGTTTATAGGGTCGCTATGAGTCATCTACGACTCGACGGCACTTAACAACAACACAACAATTGTATAATATGCAGCTGTATTGTAGTGGGTTTATTGTTCAAAATGGTTTTCTTAGCCATTGGCTTTGACTTTCACCATATGCCTGGGTAAGAACATGAGGTATGGTATATATAACTGGCTGACAGTGGAATTGGGACGGAATTTTGCCATCTCACCAAGTTTAAATTGAGCAAGTTTAGCAACAAAGAATGAAGCATCATGACCAACAAGTAAGATGCAACAGAGAATAAAGGACACGTACATCCCTTTGGTGAAGCCTGAGTCAAGGGCCCCCACCTAAGTTTGCTAGAGGGCTGAAGAGGGATGTCATAGTCAGAAAGACTAAAAAAGCTTTGTAACAATGACTTAAGTCATGAGGCTGAAGGTCAGAGGGTCTACAAGCACACTTGAGGAACTGTATCCTGTTACTAACCTGAACTGTAACCTGTAAACTTCCCTAGTAAGACCCAAACCTGTGAGTTTGGTTCTATGAGATGTGTGGTCATTGCAACAGATTCCAGACCCAGTAGTAGAGCAGGACATTTGGTGATGGATTTAGTAGGTACTGGAGCCTGAAGGGCATGTCTGACCTTATAGGAATGGATTTGTTGCTGATGGGGAATGCTGCTTTTTGTGATGTTAACAGAGGTCAGACTCTGCTGTTCCTATGTCACCCCTATTCCTTTTATAGTAGCCAAAGCTAAAAGCTGAGAAGGGAAATCTCAGTACCAAAAATGAAGAAGGAACCATTTCACAAGTAGATAAACTCAAGAGAAGAGGGAAAAGTAAACAGAAACTCCATGTCAAAGAGCAGCTAGGGGACAGTTCCTGACAGTGAGCCTAAGCACCGATGCATGAGCCTAATGAGGCAACCACAAGACTCAGGCCTGTGCCACACTTATCGCTAGAAGAAGGTTTGTCACTAACATTAGATACACAAAAATCCTAGCCACTGGCCTGAGGAAAAGGCACAGAAGTTTACCAACCACTCTCCGCCATGCATAAGACGATGATATAGTTAAAACTGTAACATCAGGTCTGCAGGTAAGAAGACAGAATTATCTATTTTTTTTAATTATCTATTTTTATTGAGGCTTTGAACACTAATGAGTGAAGACCAGGTGAGTTGTGGAAGGATGCCAAATGTATTATCCAGGAAGAGTGCAAACAGTCATTACAAAGACAGAGGAGGAAGAAAAGACCAAAATGGATGTCAGAAGAAATTCTGAAGATTGCACTGGAGTGTAGAGAAGCCAAAGCACAAGGAAGAATTCAAGATACTAAAGAGCTGGACAGAAGATTCCAAAAGGCAGCACGGGATAACAAAGCAAAATATTACAATGAAATGTGCAAGGAGCTAGAGTCAGAAAATCAAAAGGACTGAACTCATTCAGCATTTCTTAAGCTCAAGGAACTGAAGAACAAATTAAAACCTCGAGTTGCTATAATCAAGGAAGCTTTAGGTAGAATATTAAATGATCCAGGAAGTATTAAAAGAAGATGGAAGGAATACACTGAGTCATTGTATCAAAAAGAATTGGCAGATACAGAAGAATTTAACATTTGAGCAAGAGCCTATGGCGATGAAGGAAGAAATTCAAGCTGCTTTGAAGGAAATAGCAAAAAATAGGCCCCCAGAATAGATGATATACCAGTTGATATATTTCAGCTAACAGATGCTGCCCTGGATGTGCTAACCAAGTTGTGCCAAGAAATCTGGAGAACAACCACTTGGCCAACTGACTGGAAGAGATCTATATTTGTTCCCATTCCAAAGAAAGGTGACCCAAC